CCCACCCCAATGTAGAACCCATGACATTGCGCACTCCAGTGTAGAACTCCCCTCCATGTCTCTGTCAGGGCATCCAGCCTCTGCTTGAACACTTAGTTGGTGGGGAGCTCACTATCTCACAGGATAATCTATTCTGATTTTGGACAGCTCCAGCTGTTTTTTCCTTTGATTTTTATTGACATCTTTTAAAAAACGTTGAGAACCCTGGGTCACTATTTGCTCGTCTGTAAAATGGGGATGGTCATGACACCCACGTCACAGGATGGTTATGAGATGCTTGTAAAGCAGTTCACAAAGTGTTTTATGGATCAGCTGTTATGATCTAGGCCAGTAAATTCACAGGTCCAGGCCCTAAGCCTTATAAAACAATAATTTATAGTCATAGAGTTGCCTAGAGCAGAAAGGAGGATCCCTGCCAGCCACATGCTGACTTAGAAAACCAACGAACATTTTTTGCGCTGTATTATATTTTGATTATTTTGTTAAATATTTTCCAATTACCTTTTAATCTGGTTTGGGAGTTTTGCTGGGTTGACACACTTCTGACCTAGATCACGCAGCTAGAAAGTGTCAGAGGTGAGACTCGAACCCAGGGCTTGCTGGCCCGAGGCTGCTGCTCCGCTTGCCCTCTCGCACTGTTGTCTCACTGGTGCCGGGGGGTTCTCGTTGGGATGGGTGCTCGGGGCAGATCTCAGCCTACCCTGGTTTTCTCATCCATGGGGGACCTTGCCAACATTTCCAGCCCCTTTTTTGACCGGGCATTTCCTGGAAGTCCCTGAGACAGCTTCTTGTGCCACCCGGGCTGTGGAAAGGACGCCCACCCTCCCCGTCCCCACAGCCGATTGTCTCAGAGCCCCTGGGAGGGGGAGGGGAAATCCCTTTGGTCCCAACACCCAGTGTGGATCCCATCACTTCATGAGTCATCCAGGCCGGCGGGAGCCAAGGCCACAGGCCTATCTGGGGAATGGGAAGGAGGTGAAGTGACTGGTCCAGGATCACCTGGCCAGGGTTTCTCAGAGGTGGACTTAGAATCCAGGGCTTTCTGCGACCAAAGCTGGCGGTCCTCTGCTACACCAGTGATTCTTAAACTTTTGGTCTCAGGACCCCTTCATGTTTCTAAAAATTACAGAGGGCCCCAGAGAGCTTTTGTGTACCTGGGTTCTTTCTGTCAGTACTTTTTTGTTTTTCAGTCATTTTTGTTGTGTCCAACAATCCATGACCCCATTTGGGGTTATCTTGGCAGAGATACTGGAGTGGTTTGCCATTTCCTCTCCAGCTCATTTGACAGATGAGGAAACTGAGGCAAACAGAGTTAAGTGACTTGCCCAGGGTCACACAGCTAGTAGGTGTCTGAGGCCAAATTTGATTTCAGGAAGAGGAGTCTCCCAGACTCTAGGCCCGGCGCGCTCCATTCACCGTGCCACCTAGCTGCTCATCGGCATTTACCATATTAGAAATGAAAACTGATGAAATTTTGACATTGATTCATTAAAAATAGCAACATGTTTCTATGAAAAATAACCATCTTCCAAGGCAAGAATTTAGACGGGTGGCATTGTCTTACAGATCTGCAGATCTCTTTCATGTGCGGCTCAGTAGAAGAAGCGGGGGTCTCCTATCTGCTTCTGCGTAGCTCAGTCTGACGTGATGTGTTGTTTTGGTTGAAGCGTATCAAGAAAATCTGGCCTCATAAGGCATGGTTGGGAAAGGGAGGAGGCGCCTTTTAGGAGGCAAATAATAGCTTAGAATATTATGATGAAAATTGTTTTGGCTTCATGGATCCCCTGAAAGGGTCTTGGGGACCCCCAGAGGTCCTTGAACCCTACTTGGACAACTGCTGGCCCAGACTGCTCTGTCTCTCTGTCAAGAGAATCTTGGGGTTAAAGAGCTGGTTTGTGTTGGGAAAGCTGGAGGATCCCTGCAAGCCCAGCACATCCTTCCCCCTCAAAGCTTTCCAGCCTCTGAGCCGGGCGCATCGTTCCCCGGTGGTACTGGCCTTCGCTGGAACCCTACTGGAGCCCCTGATAAAAATGGAATGAGCTAGTTTGCCTGGCTTCTTCTTAGTGAACCCACACTGGGTCTGGGGGACCGCCATTTTGCTTAGGCCTAGCACATCCTCTGTGTAGTCATATATCTTGAATTTGGATAGGGAGAGATACTAAACCCACTGGGATGCAGTTTCCAGAATCCCCCACTTTTTTCCTTTGGGAAACATGGTGCTCAGCCTTGGGGAGACCCTGGTCTTTTGGGGAGATACCCCCTACTCTTGGGAGGTCCCTAATGGGGACTAATGGGAGTTTAATGGGGAGATATTCTGTGTTCTTGAGAAGCCCTTGGTCTGCTGGGGAGACAGTTTTTGCTTTTGGGAAACCCCTAGTTTGGTGGGGAGATAACTTCTGTTCTTGGGAAGCCCCTGATCCAGTGGGGGAGACGGCTCTTGTTTTTGAGAAGTTCCTGAGGTCTGATGGGAGGACATCTCCTGCCTTTGGGGAGCCCTTGGTCTGGTGAGGAGACATCCCATTTTGGGGGAGCCTCTGGTCCAATCAGGGAGACATCTTTTGTTTTAGGAAAGTCTCTCTGGCCTGACGGGAAGACATCTCCTGGCCTTGGGGAGCCTTTGGTCTGGTGAGGAGACATCCCCTGTTTTTGGGCAACCCCTGGTCTAATAGGGAGACCCTCCCTGGTCTCATTGAGGGTCGTGCAGGGCAGATGAGCCTGTGCTGGGGGGCAGCTCACTCTGGTGGTCTTCTGCGGCCCCTTCTCCTAGCCTTCTAGAGCTGGGCTAGCTCTGAAATATTCATTGCTCATGGAGCCTGTGGTCTGAGATCTGCCCTTTTTCCTCCCTGGCAGTGCCTGCTGCAAACTGAGCTGTTTACTGATAGGTCTCCAGAGCCCTGGGGGCCGTTACCTCATTCACCCTTCCCCTCCCAACCCAAGTGAGTGAGACTGGGGCCTCAGGACACTAGAGGAGGTCTTGTCCTCTTGGCTCTCTGCTTCTCTTTGTGGGGGGGGGGGGGGGCGGTTAGCATGTCTTTCTCTTCCTCCCCCAGAGTCCTCAATGGCATCCTAGGAATTTGAATTAAGAGGGGCCTTGCGGTCTTACAGATCACCTGATCCAAAGCCTTCCCTGTATAGAGGGTGACACTGAGCTCCCCCAGAGAGGGGGAGGGATTTTTTCACCCAAGTTTATATGGCTGGGATTCAAACCTGGGTCCTCGGATCGCCCGTTCAGTGCTGGGGCGTCCTGTGCGGGAAGTCCAGTCTCATTGGCTCCCACTGAGCAGTCCCAGGTGACCCTGCCGGCTTCCAAGCCCCGCCTGCCTCAACCCTGCCATTGCCACCATCTCCCCTGGCCTTTTCTTCACGTTCACCGCTCCTCCTGTCTCCTTTGGCTCCAGGCACCGAGAGCACTGTTGGGCTTTTAAAACACTTTTTATTATGACCTTAATCCTCACCAAACACAGAGCACCACTCTGCTACACACAGTTTATTTTTTTATTTTTATAAAAGTAGATTGAATTTAACATTGTGGTGACAAAATTACTGTTTGTGCCCCTTTCAACTTCATTTTTGTGATTTAAATGGTGTTCTCTTCCCCGCCATCTTCCCCCTCCCTCCCTCTCTCCCTCCCTCCCTCCCTCCCTTCCTCCCTCCTTTCCTTCCTTCCTTCCTTCCTTCCTTCCTTCCTTCCTTCCTTCCTTCCTTCCTTCCTTCCTTCCTCTCTCCCTTTCTCCCTCCCTCCCTTTCTCCCTCTCTCCCTCCCTCCCTCTCTCCCTCTCTCCCTCCCTCCCTCCCTTTCTCCCTCTATCCCTTCCTCCCTCCCTCCCTCCCTCTCTCTCTCTCCCTTCCTTCCTCCTCCCTCCCTCTCTTACTCCCTACCTCCCTCCCTTTCTCCCTCCTTTCCTTTCTTCCTTTCTTCCTTCCTTCCTTCCTTCCTTCCTCCCTCCCTCCCTTTCTTCCTCCCTCCCTCCCTTCCTCCCTCCCTTTCTCTCTCCCTCTCCCTCTCTTTCTCTCCCTTCCTCCCTTCCTTCCTTCCTTCCTTCCTTCCTTCCTTCCTTCCTTCCTTCCTCCCTCCCTTCCTCCCTTTCTCCCTCTCTCCCTCCCTCTCTCCCTCCCTCCCTCCCTTCCTCTCTTTCTCTCCCTTCCTCCCTCCCTCCTTTCCTTCCTTCCTTCCTCCCTCCCTTCCTCCCTTTCTCCCTCCCTCCCTCCTGCTTCCTTTTCCAGAGTCACTTTCAAGGGAGCTGAGAATGTCCAAACCAGACTAAGAAGTGGGTGATGCTTCTCAAAGACCAGCAGGCTCCTGTCCTGGGTGCCCCAAATCTCCCAGTTTCTTCCACGTAGCCTTTTATTTGTCTGGCCGTCCCAGTTCTTCCTCCTCTCACGACCCCCGGCATGAACTTGGTCTTTTCTCCTGAGCACATCCAGGCCACCTTTGGGTCGTTTTTCTCCGCCCCTCCCCCTACTAAGTTCTTTGATGCGTTCTCTGAAGCTCCCAGTGGTCCCTGCTGGTCATGCTGGGTGGCATCTTCCCTGACTCCATATGTTAAGGACCTGGTCTGCAATCTCAGTAGAAGGTGCTCCTTATTAACTGTGCGATCTTGGGTAAATCTCTTATTTCTCTGGGCCTCGGTTTCCATATGTGTAAAATGAAGGGAGTCAGATTTGATGTCCAAGGCTCCCTTCAGTTTTGAAATCCTGTCTATCTCCCTCCACTCCAGGACCAACTATAAAATATAAACAGCTAGGATCATGGAATCCTAGGTATGGAACTGGAAAGGGCCTGAGAGGTCTTTGAGGCCAAATCCCCTGTTTTACAGTTGAGCAAACTGAGGTCCAGAGAGGTGGGGTTGCAGCTTGCCCAGGGTCATGCAGAATAAGGATTTGAACTCGAGTCTTCTGGTGCCCATCAAGACTAGATACCACCCAAAGGCTCTAAATGTGTGGTCTGTGAGCCAGTGACCCCCAAATCAGGAGAACTCATCTGAGCACTTGGGTCACTCCCAAAAGTTTGAAGTATTTCCTGATTCCCTGCATAGGGCGCTGATGAAAGCTCATGACCCTGCGGGCCCGTTTGGGCCTCCATCTCTTCTCCACAGGCTTCTGCGTGAAGTGTGAATACATCGCCCACAAGGAAGGTGTCCTCAAGGAAGAGCTGGTGCTAGCCTCTGAGACCAGTGACAATGCCACCGTCCGAGTGGTGCTGCAGGCCAGAGTCATGGGTGAGGAGGAAGGGGCGTCCAGGACCACGGACAGAGCACCTGCTGGGAGTGGGGAGAGGCTGAGGGAGGAGCCCTGAGCACCCGGATCTGGACTCCTCAGTCTGACCGCTTGGTGGAGGGACCTGGGTTCTGTCTTTAGGGGGGCCCCTTGGTTCCTGCCCTCAAGGAGCCTCTCGTCTAATGGGGAGGGGGAGGCCCGCTCGGAAGCAGTAGCGGAACCTGGAGCCGACCCAAGGAGGGGGGTTTAGAGGTGGCTGAGCAGGAATGAAAGAGGCAGTGCCTCGCCCGAGGAGGGGGGGCAGTTTGTTGGGCCGGGACCGAGGGTCAGAAGGGGTAGTGGTGCTGGGCGGGGCAGCTTGGGGAGGGCGAGGGTGGGATCCTGGGGCTGAGTCCCACGGCCGTTCATAGTCCAGTAAGAGACAGCCTGCCTCTCCAGGGACACCGTTAAACTGTGGCACCGCAGAAGCACAGTGGATTTGGGTCAGGACTGTGTCGTACCCCAGTTTTATTTTTTTACTGCTTGTGTGTGAGACCTTGGCAAGCAGGTCATTTGCCCCCTCCCAGCCTCAGTTTCTTTGTCAGTAAAACGAAGGGACTGGATCGTAGCAAACGGTGGAGCTGGAAGGGATCCCTGAAGACAAGCGGCTTCTCCTCTGAGGGGTGCCTGGACAAATAAGAACCCCGAGGGGGCTTCGGATTATAAGGCTGTGGGGTGCTTGTGTCTGCCTCTGTACCAACTCCCCTGCACCCTCTGCTGGCTGCCGAGGGTAGTGACCACCAGTCACGGTAGCTCCTGGATTTGAGGGGATTTTTCCATTCCCAGAAAGCTTGGGAGGAGGAGGAGGAGGAGGAGGAGGAGAAGGAGGAAGGGTTTTGTTTCCCCTGCTTCATCTCTCTCCATCCGTCCTTCCCATTCCATTTTGGGGGAGCCTCTGGTCCAGTCAGGGAGACATCTCTTATTTTTGGAAAGTCTCTCTGGCCGGATGGGAAGACATCTCCTGCCCTTGGGGAGCCCTTGGTCTGGTGGCCTCTGGGAAATCCCCGTCTCCTTCCTCCTGGCTCAGGGAAGAGAGGGCTGGCTTTGAGGGGACCTGGAGCAGCCCCTCGGGGCCACAAAAGAGAGGATTGGGGCAGGTGGCCCCGGGGGTCCCTCGTTGCCCAGGGCTTGCTTTACGGAGCCCCGACAGATGGTGGGGACTGAGATTGAGCCACGGGGAGCAGTTACAGGAGGATTTTAGGGAAGGTGTGGGGGCCTTGGAGAATGGGCCGGGCGCAAACCCGAGTGCTTGTGTGTAAGGTGCTGGAGGCTGGCCTACGGCTGGAGGAGACCTCAGAGGTCATCAGGGCAGCCCTTTCACCTTGCTGATGGGGAAGCTGAGGCCCGTGGGAAGAAGAGGCAGAGCTGAGATTCGAACCCAGGGCCTCGGACTCCAGATCTAGCTGGCTTCCTTCTCTGTCATGCCCCGTTGTCTCTGGGGCCATTTGTAATGTGGAAGGAACTTGGGGGAGCAGGAGAACCTTGGCCTTGGGAGTCGGAAGAGCTGGTCAGGTCCTGTCTCTGCCACTCTGCCAACGTAACCTGGGGCAAACCCCTGGATCCCCCCGTTTCGTCTTCTGAAAACTAATACAGCAATAGCTGCCTTTTAGATGAGGCTCTGAGGTTTACAGAGTGCTTTGTATAAAATCCGAGATATAGAGACCTCATCGGCTGTCAGTTCAACCCCACTTGTTTTACAGATGAGGAAACTGAGTCACGTGCAGGACGTAGAAAGGGGCTGGATTTGAAACCGGGCTCTTGGCCAGACCCCAAATCCAGGGCCTTGTGGCTGCTTTCTGTCATTGAAAATGAAGGGATTTGGTTGAAGTAGATGGTGCTCATGTCCTTGGCCTGGTAGTCTGCGCAGGGTGAGAATATAGAATTAAAGCTGGCGCTAGACTTAGGAAGGGGCAGAGGTAGGGTCTGGACAGTGTAGGGGGTAGAATGCTAGCTTCAGAGGCAGTTCCTATCTCATGGTGCTCGTAGGGAAAGTTGCTTAATCTCCGAGCCCCTCCATTTGCTCATCTGTAAAATGGGTGTAAATTGCCAGTTCCTCCAGCACTGCTGAAGAGAGGCTGGAGCTTACCCCCGTCCTCTCTGTTTTCAGACCGGCACCACGGCACCCCAATGCTCTTGGATGGGGTGCGCTGCGTGGGCGCGGAGCTGGAATACGACTCGGAACACAGCGACTGGCGTGGCTTCGACTAAGGACCCTCGTCCTGCCTCCCTCCACTCCCGCGCTGCTTTCCTGTGCCCACCCGCCCCGATGGAGCAGCTGTTTGGGGGTCTCCTTTCTGTCCCTGGACTGGATGCTTTGCTACTTGGAAGGGGGAGAGAGGAGCAGGAAGGGCCTGTGGCCAGGGTGGGGAGGAACCTCTGGGGTCCCCCTTCCCTGAGCTGGGAAGGTCCTGGGGTAGGGTCCCCCCATCCCTTTAGCCTTAAATTCCATCTGGATTTGTCTCAGTCTGTGTTGCCTGCTGCCCCTTGCAGGGCCCAGGGTCTGGGGTGGGTGGTGGATGGATGAGGGGGCTGGAAGGTAGTACCTGGGTAGGCAGGTTCTTTTATCTGGGCTGCCTCCCTCCATCCTGTGCCGGCACCTCCTGCTTTCTCCCTTCTGTTGTGCTTCAGTGATTAGATGGAATCCTGCCTCCAGAACCAGGGGAGAAGGGTAAGGGAGGCCTCTTCTGTGTGCCTCAGTCTCCCCGGCCTGAGGGCAGCTTTTATGGTATGGGGAAGGGAAGGGATTGGGGGCAGGCAGGGTCTAGTGTGTCAGAGAAGCCTCGGGTGCCTCCGTCCTCCTTACCTTGCCCTTGTAATTGCCCGAGGGTGCCTCCCTCCCCCTGTGCAGTCAGCCTTTCCTGTGGCCCCAATTCCTGAGCCATAGAGCAGGAGATGCCCACCCTCCAGGCTTGCACCTGTCTATATCATTGCTGTTGTCTGTTTGCTGCTTTAGTCATTCACCCCCTCCCCCTAAACTGGCCAGGGTGGGGGCGGGGCTGTGGAGGGAGGCTGGGCACCGGAGGGAGGGTCCTGCTCCAACCTCCGCCTACGTGCCCACATGCGCGCCTGTACTGTGTGTGTTGGTTTGTTTTTTAAAGTGATATTGGGATGAAAGCCCAAAGAAATTAAAAGAGAAAAAACAAGTTTCTGTGGAGACCAGACTGAATCCCTGGCTTTTGTCCAAGGGGAAGAAATGGGATTAGGGGCAAGAGGTCCTCCCTCCTGCCTCAGGTCCTAATGAGTGACCCCAGGAGTCATGTAACCTCGGTGGGTCTGGGTAAGAATCCACTGTTGCTTTTAGACCTCCAAAGACGGAACCCACCCTATCAAGGCAGCCAGGCATTCGAGGCACTCTGAGAAGGCATGAACCAAAACATCCCCCAGAATTGGGTTGTGGGGGGACTCCAGCCGGGCCTTAGGTTCCAATCCTCGCTCCCACTAAGTCTGGGCAAACCCTTTGCACTGTTTGCTCATCTGCAAAGTGAAGAGGTTGGGCTATCACGTAATCAGGTGCTGGACTTGGTGGCGTAAAGACCTGCTTCAAACCTTAGCTGTGTGACTGTGCCTCAGTTTACTCATCTGACAAAAGGTGGTGGGGAAGACCTGGTGGTGGGGAAGACCTGATGGTGGCCTCAGCTCCTTTCTGTCTGTGAATCTGTGATTTTAGGATCGCTGTGGACAGCTCTGATTCGATGATCTCAGGGTTGGTGCTGAAGGGGAGAGGCTAAATTTTCTGCCCCCTTCGTATAACTTTATCTGATATCTTCCTCAAAATTGTCTTTAGCATATCTCTCAGCTGTGTATCTGAGCCATCTCTCCCACTTCCTCACCCCACCTCCCACAAAACAATCTTGGGATTAGGATCACCTTCCCAGGGGATTTCAGATGCCCATGCTACCAGGATAAGGTAGAGGTTTGTGGGAATGGTCATCTTCGGTAGCTGGAGTAATGACCTAACCAGTGTACCTCATCTCCCTAGCAGCTGTCTCCCTTTATCCCCAAGGAAGCCCCGTTATCTGCTCTAGGACACCCAGTCCCCCATAATCCTACTCCAGGGCTTCAGCCTGTGGGGACTGAAGATGACAGATTGACAGCCCGATCCCAGGGGCTGTCCAGCCCCCCACACTCCCGTCATCTCCCTGCCAGGCCATGGCCTTGGACTTAAATGCTTTATTAAGAATGTGGCTTTCTCTGACAGCAGTCCCAGAGCTCCCTCCCCAGTTAGAGAACCATCCAGCTCTACCTGGTGGTGCGGAGGGTCTTTGTTCCTCTTGAGGGGCGGGGGGGATCTGTTTAGACCCTAGAAGAAATTCCTCATGGACTTTTTACTGCAGGGAAATGACAAATTTCTCTGAGGCCTGCTTGAGTGACCTGAGCTATGTAAGAAATATTCCCCACTCTCACCCCTACCCAGGGTCCATCACCCTGCTGACAATGACCCTCGTAACACTACCCCAGACAGTGACATACTTGACTAGTAACAATACTCCAGTAAGCTGCTGTGTTAGTAACATTGCCTGTCTAATAACATGACCCTACGAAGGCGTTTTCCCTACTACTAACATCTCCCTGCTAATAACGTGACTCCTGGTAATTACTCTGGCTACAAACATCCATCCCTGCTCAGCAGAGCTGTGATCTCATCACTGCCGGTATTCTTTGACCACTGCAGCTCACAACCCATCCATGACTCCAACTGGTGTGATTTTCATCCGTGTCTTGCCGTAGGTCGCCAAAGGTCCACCCAACGTGGGAGGAGCCACTTCTCTGTCTTCAAACACTCTCAGTCCATCCGCTCTCCTTCTCATAGGCTCCGTGACCACCTGATCATATACCCTCTCCACAAACGTCCCCAGGGAGGTCATTGTTGCAAACATGGCGCAGCCTACTCGCATCCCCGTTCGTCTCTTTAAAGCCTTTGGTATCGCCCACAACTTGTCAATCTCCTGAGAATCTCCACCATCACCGAGAGAATGTTTATGTCAAAAAGTTGGGTCTCAGTGGAGATTGTGGAAAGCCCTGAGCAGTTTCTGAAACAATGCAGCCCGTTTTCCTCAGGTTCCACGTGTTCCTCCGTTGTCCATCTTCAGTGATGTTCTGACATCCTGACTCAGCAGACTATCTGTACAACTACGTGTCACAGACTGGACAACGTGCATTTTTCATCCATTTGGTTTTTCCCGTATGGATTGTTAGACTAACCTCTTGAGGACTCATTGTTCTCTTTATGTCCAGCCACCCCATTAGTACCTTACCCTGCTAGTAACTATCCCGCCTAGTTAGATACCTGCCAGTAACTTGGTTACTCTAGGAATATACTTCTGACTAGTAATATTACCCTGTTAGTGAAAACTGAACGTAGTACCCCCCTCCCCTACTTGTCAAGTACTGCCATTGTCTAATATTTCCAGGCCCTACCCGGTGAGATGGGCTTATGCTCTTCACACCACTGAGTAGGGGCTTTATCGGCCTCAGCCCCTTCTGTGTGTCATTGGCCTGCGTCCGTCAGTCCCTCGTGTGCTTGGCTTCTGTTATCCCCCTTAGGGGGCAGGACCCTCCCGGGGGTCCACGAGATCTCCATTCTAGCCTGGTGCTGGGGGGTGCTGCCTGGTAAGCCAGAGAAGTCACTAAGTGCTGTGTAGAATTCTTTGTTCCCCAGGGCCTTGCTGGTCAAGGGACACAGGGCTACGCCATCCCCCCAAAGCGAGGGTCACCGAATCTCCCCTTCTCCATTTTCCACTCTCAGCTCTCCTCCGTGGCAGGATAGGGTCCAGGCTGGAGGACGGGTTTAAGCTATAAAAATAGAATCTGAATTTACCTGCACCCCTTTTCCCAGTAAGACAAAGCGAAGCATGCGGAGCTATATAGGAAAGAGTCGCACAGGGGGAGGAGAGCAGGGTTTGAATCTCATCTGTCCCTTGCTTACTGGGTGACCCACAGGCTTGTAGCTTAACCTTTCTGGGCCTCAGGCTCCCCTGTGGTTCAGATGGGCTGGGTGGTCTCTGAAGCCCTTTCCAGCTTCAGCATTCTATGATTCTGTGGACAGGGTGGGGGATTGGGACGCTGGGGATCTCCCCCTCCCATTCGACCCTCTTCCGTGGGCAGTAGAGGTGACTCTTGCCAGTTTGGCCTACCCAGGAATGAATTCTAGGGCTCCCCCGGCACGATTCTGGGGAGGACCCTCGCCCACCAAATTCCTGCCTTCTCCTTCACCGGGCACCCCCCAGCACCTTCTCAAGGGCTTCCTCTCAGCGGGGTTGCCCGTGTAAACTCCCTGGGGTGGGGGGTGCGGACCCCGAGTTAGCCCAGTAGTGCCCTCCGTTGGTCTTGGATCCTGGTGCTGTGCTTTAGGAAGTTTTTCAAGGTCCCTCTTTTCATCCCCGGCCCAAGTACAGCGCAGGGAAATGAAGGCAGAATTTGGGGCCATGGAAGGGTGGCTCCAAGCCTAAAAAGAGGGAATGGAAGAATGTGGGCTGGATAGGGGGAAAGTGAAATGAACAGGTAGGGAGGGAAAGGAGGAAGAGGAGAGGAGGGAAGGTAGAAATCTGGAGGATGGGTCTCGAGAAGCAGGACTGGGAGAAGGGATTGGGGCTGTTGGAGGGCACTTGGGGGAGAAGGTGGAGGTCTGGGCAGAGGGGGGAACATGAGATGTTGAAGGGAGAATGGGCCACGGGGGTCTCCAGGCTAAGCCTCGTTCCCCCCCGCCCTCAGTTGGAGAGGAAGTCGATGGTGGCACGCACAGTCCGGGAAGTGCTGACATCCACAGCGGTCACCTTGATCTCTGTGTCCCCAAACTGCATAGAGGCCCGAATCTCCCGGCGGGCGGGAGTCGCCCCCGGAGGGGCCGGGGCCAGCTCGAGGCTGATGGCCCCACACTTGCGCACGCCGGGGTCGGTGATGTACTGTACATCCTCGGCCGCGCAGCAGTAGATGTTGATGAGGATGCGGTGCTGGCCCGGCCTGGCGGGGCAGTAGCTGCGCTGAACCACCTCTCCTAGGGCCACAGATTGGTCGGCCGCTACAAAACGCTCAAAGACGTCGGTGCACCAGCTCTTGCCATCCTTGACCAGCAGCTTCTCCGGGGGGTGGCGGCCAGCCACGAACTTGTTAAGGACCCCGACGCCGTAGGTGAGTGGCGAGCGGCGCACTCGGACCACGCCGGGGTCCAGGCCGAACAGCACGGCGCCCTTCAGGATGGTCAGGCCCACGTCCTGGGGGATGATGACCCGCAGGCCTCGGCCGGTGAAGGCCTCCTGCACCGCGTGTTGGAGCACGGCTGATTCGGCGAAGCCCCCCACGAGGAACAAAAACTTCACCCCCTGCACCTCCGGGCGGGCCAGCAGCTCATCTGGGGGAAGAAGGGAGAGCTAAGACCCTGAGCTGCGCCCCCCTCCCCATGCCTTTCCTTCCCCTCTGGCCCGGCAACGCAAAGCAGCTGGCAGCCTTCCGGAGCCCGGGCTTGGCGGCTTGCGGATCACCCTCTGAGCAGAGGGTCCACTGTTTAGACCCTTTGGGAAACGTTAGCCTTTGGTTCTGGATTCTCCAGGCCTCGCTCTGCTGATGTGGGCTCAAACAGAGGTGACTGCTTTGTCGGCCAAGGCAGACAAAAATGCTAAGGCAGAATGTGGAAAGGTAGTAAAGGAGTAAAGTAGAATGTCAGAGGTGGGTGGGAGGGCCTTAGAAAAGGGACTGTCAGAGCTGGGTGGGAGGGCCTTAGAACAGGGGATGTCAGAGCTGGGAGGGGCCTTAGAACAG